GGGCACATCCGTGCTGCAGTTTCTCCTTTAAAGTAACAGGAGCCCCTGGTCCCCTGTTACAGTTCTGATGCTCAGACCATCCCAGTAGTGGAGCTGCAATTAGCTAACCCTGATCACAATACATGATCACACAGAGCTGCTGCTCCCTCAGTGCTGGCAGAAGCTGCCCAGTTCATACTGAACATGATCAAGTGCCAGACACTAACCCTGGCTCTCTCCCTCCTGCCCTCAGTATGCCTCTTGCTATGGCAACAAGCGAGCTGTGAAGCTACTGGGCAGAAACAGCTACTTCTCCCTCTTTGCCAACCCACCATGCTTGATTAGCCAGCACCAGCAACTGGCCTGCCCAGCCCCAGAGATGACCATTCGCCAGATCAGCCAAGTGATCCGGATCTTGCGACAGCTGAGACTGCGGGACACCAAAGAGGCCCAGATGCCCAGTGCTTCAAGGTGAGGAGGGGATGGGGATAGAGTGCAAACTGTGAGCAAGTTCACTGTTTGTATTCAATAGGGTGACAGCCCTTTCTCTGAGCTGATCCTGCCTTTGCAGCCCTGGGTGATTCTTTAGGAATACATGTGGGATTCACTATTAGGGGCACCACAGACTGTAGTCCTTCCTATGGATTAACCACATTCCTGCATTCTCCTGCCAATACCACACTGCCTCCAGCTCACCTCTCTGGAGAGCATCACTGTATCATGCAGAGACCTTACAAACTGGAAGAAAATTGTCCTTCTGGCAACCTTACCTTTGCCCACTGAGAACCTAGGAGGAATGTACCCCCAGCTCTTTGTGCATTTGGGTTCTCTAACTCAATGTCACAGGGCCAGATCCCACTTTCAATTGCAGTGGCATGGACTTTGGTGCAGAGACCAGGGAACTGAAAGCAGGCCATGGCCTGTAGCATTTTTATCGCACCAAACTGGGAAGAAGTCTCAAAATGAGTGAGCTAGAATCCCAGTGGTGCTCCAGCAGCTCTTGCCTATGCTCTGAATCCAGCTGCACTAGGACACTCAAGACCCAAAAGGCAGGGTGTGTGCATCTGCATCCATCTCCCGGCCCAGGGAAGGGAAGCGAAGGGACATACCTGACAGCCTGAAGAACTGTGCTAAACCCAGGTGTGGGGCATCCTGGAACAGTGGCAGTGAATGGATGAAGGGGACTGTGAGATGACAGGGGGGTGATGCAGCAGTGATAGTGAGGAAAGGGCTGGTGTCGGGGGTAAGTCAAACAGAAGGAACATCATGCTCCTTACATCAGCTGGGCAGCAGTCTGGATAAACCGAGCTAACTGAAAGGGCCAGGTGGCTTTAGGTGGATGCAGCTGGTAGCATTAGGAAATTGTACCATGGAATAGACAGGGGTTTTCCCCACCCCCAGCAGCAGATGTCTGACTCTGGTACCCGCTCTTC